GCTTTGTTATTGTTACTCAAGGACGTAATTGTCTTCTCCAGTGTATTTTTCTCTGTGTGCTTAAAAGCACCAGCCTGCTGAGATAGACTCATTCTTTACTAGTGGGTGGTGGGCCTCGGGGTCAGCGTGGCTATCCCGGCCCACTGTCCTGCCTCTCCTGGGGAAGAGGAGGTGGGAAGAGGGGTTTGATGGTAAATCCAGGTTGTTCAAGTGGAACCATTGTTCTTGGGCTGGTATTCATGGTTATATTCAAAATGCAAGGCTTTTGGGTTCTTTCGCTGTATGTGCTAAAGGCGCTGTGTTTTGCGGCAGTAATGTGACAGCCAGAGCTGTGGTTCTGTGTTGCTCTGTGCCTGAGTCATCGGCCAGAATATGGAGGCTGCTGCAGAGGAAGGAGGCCGTCGGCAGAGACCCCAGACCTGCCAGGCGGAGCCAGCTGAGCCGGTGTTGTCTGCACACCGCGGTGTAGTGCTGTGGCCTGTCCTCAACAGTCTTGCAGCTTTCAGAGTTTCTTTCTGAACCACTTATGAGCTACAAAAGAAAATCATCCTCATGACCTTTCTCAGCTCTTACGCTCCAGCCCGGAGCTCAGAGCCGGGGAAGCCAGTTCTCCCGACTCGGCCTGAAGTCGCGCTCGCTCTGTCCCCGACCAGGCTCCTTCTCCCACACGTTCCTGTCCCTGCTGAGGCTGCTTCGACGGCTTTGGGACGCTGCAGCGAGCCGCTTCCTTTCTCTGCCCTTCAAAAAGAGCCTTCTGGCGGCCTTGGTCCTCTGTGTGCTGGTGTTGAGGTTTGACCCAGGTAGGTGCGTGGCGGGTCTCCAGCTCCCCGCGGCAGGGCCGCTGCGCGACAGTGGGCCTGCGGGTGTGGGGCTCCGCACTCTGCTGAGCCTGTTGGGGGCGGAGCCCCGCCTGTGTGGCTGTTCTCGCCTCTCCCACACGGCAGCCCCACATGGAAGAGGTCTGGGAAATCCCTCTGCGCTGTTGACCCCTGAATGCTGATGGAGTTCTTTAGGGGTGTGCTTTATCTAGAGCCCTGACTAGAACCTCAGAATTAAAAAACTAACAAACCACATCCCTCATTATAGTATTTAAAAATGTGTCAACCCAACTGTTAACGTGTTCACAGCCACAACTTGTTATGTCATGCTGCCGAGTGCCTCTGTGGTTTTTTGGTTTTGTTTTGTTTTTTTTTTGGTCTTTCTGAGACAGGGTCTCACTGTGCAGTTTAGGCTGGTTTTGAGCTCACTTTGTAGGCCAGGCTGGCTTTGAATTCATGGCGATCCTCCTGCCTCAGCCTCCTGAGGGCTGGGATTACAGGCATGTGCCACCACACCCAGCTTTGCCTCGTGGCTCTGAACCATTGGTGATACATGCATGACCGTCTCCTTAGGGGGTATGGGGAGAGTTCCATTGATGGGACAGTCATGCATGTACCACCAGTGGTTCAAAACAGCAAGAATGTGTTAGTGTCTTATCTCAAAATATGAACTTCTAAATGAAATATTCAATAGTACATTTTAGAAAGTAGAAAATAGAGAAAAGTATAAAGAAGAAAACAGATCTCCTATATAAGTCTGCTAATGGTTATAATCTTAGTTTTCGTCTGCAGTAGTCTATAGAATAGGCTATCTTTTATGTTATAAATATTCTTTCAAGCATGGCTTTAAATAAATAAATATTATTCCAGTATACAAAAAGGCTATTACTGATGTAAATGTTCTTTTTTTGTGTGTCTTTTTGAGACAGGGTCTCTCTATGAAGTTCAGACTGGCCTTGAGCTCACTTTGTAGCCCAGGCTGGTCTTGAACTCACAGTGATCCTCCTGCCTCAGCCTCCCAACTGCTGGGATTACAGGCATGTGCCACCACACCTGACTTATTGATGTAAATATTCAAAAAAATTTTTTTTGAAACAGGCCTCCATTATATGGTTCAGGCTGGCCCTGAAGTTGTGATTCTCTTGCCTCAGGCTTCTGGGTTCTTGGAAGGCCACCAAATATTGAACAGTTTGATGATGACTTCATTTTCTGCCTTACTGTGAGGTAGAAATGAGTGATACTTGGGAATAGCTATAGTTATTTTCTAAGAACTAATCACTCAGCTGTGTAAGCACTGGGCCATGTTTAGGAGCCCGGCCTTTAGATCTCTTTTATGTTCCTTTCCATGAATTATGATATAATCTCTACACTTCTCACAAATCTACACTTAGAGTTTGTTGTAGTTGCATTCTCATTGCCGGGACAAAATACCCAGTGCTCACGGTACGGAAGGAGGGGTTATTTCAGCTCACTGTTTGGAGGGTTCAGTCCCTGGCCAGCTGGCTCCAAGCCAGGAAGCGCATGGTGGAAGCGTCTGGCGGAGGAGAATTGCTCACACTGTGGCTGCTGAACAGAAGGGGAAGAGAGGAGCATGGGTGGGAATGCACCCAGGTCTCACCTCCAGTGTGACCCTCCTCTCTGACCGGGTCCCATCCCTGAACCGTGCACTCACCTCTGGGTTAATTCACTGA